GGCTTTCGGAGCAGAGAGGCGCTGTACATACAGACTGATGCCGTTAGGAAGGTTTCACGTCTATTCCATGTACCCCTGCAGTCTTAATGGGGCTGGTGGTCTTGTTTTAGGTCTTGACCTATAAAGGGGGTATAGGGGAGGTTATTTTTCCAGATTGGAGAGTTGAAAGTCCTTGATGACTGATTGCAGCCATTTTTCCTAGTGCTGTTGGGTGCATAGGCAACATTGAAATGCCTTGAGCACAATTCCCAGTGGCAAAACCTGGGAGCCCATGTGCCCAGAGAAGGGACAACACAAGCTTTCTCTGGTGCAAACCTTGCCCTTCTTAAATAGTTCATAAGACTGTTTGATTGGTTTATTTACGTACAGTAGGTTAGGGAGCCTAGGTTACGTTTATATGAAGTTCTACCCAGTTAGTGAATTACAATTCTAGCAGAGCAGCCATGTAGCCACTTCATTTCATAGATGCCGTCACCGTGTCCTCTTGACTGCCTTCTGTAGAGGAAGAACGAGAGCTGTATGTGCTTCACCTGAGCTTAGTAGGACTTCTTTGCATATGAGTGGTACTAAAAATCTTAATATACATCTTTAGTTCTTTTTAAGTTGTCCTTTAAAGAGTTTTTGACTAGGATGTTTCTTTTTCTTGACAAGTTCTTCTCTTTGGACATGTGGCCTTGTTAGAGGGTCCCGCCTAGGACATGGGTCCTGGCCCTGTGTTGAGAGTGGCTGGCCCCTGTGTCCCGTGTCCACTAGCACTAGACTTGGTTGCTGCAAATTGATCCAGTGGGTACATAGGCTGATTAATGTGAGTCTTTTTTCCTTGTTTAAAGGAGTCCTTTTTGCTGAAAGTAGATGATTACTTTTGCTGTAATGTTATGAAAGTATTAAGTTTGTGCTGAAAATCCATTGCCATTTGGTACAAATGACATTTGTTCTTTCTGTGAAAGAGAGATGCCCTCGAGTGTGTTTGTACACAAACCCTTAGGATGGTGAGTTGAAGCATCACCCTCACTGTCTGCAGTGACAGTGGTGTCACAGGGAGATGGTAGGCAGGGTGGCTCTTCATCATCCTGGCAGATGCTCCCTCAGTGAACTGGCCCCTTCCCCTCTTGGCAGTGCAGTCTGACTCTAGTGTTTGCTTTGATGTCTGTGTGGAAAGCTCGTCCTGCCAACTCTGGCCCTTGCCAGGCTGTGTGAGGTGCACGTGTGGAGCTGGAGCATGCAGGCAGCCTCCATGTTTGAGTACTATGTTTTGCTGTGTTTAAAAACATCTGCATAGTTTTCAACTGGAAAAAGAAAACAACTTAAATGTGTACTGTCCTAAAACGAAAGCTGCTAAAAATCATGGGGAGAACAGCTGAGGAACAAAGCTGACTGAGTGAGCGGGAGGTGCTCTGCCCCTGGACAGCCCACTCGACTGTCTGGCTGCATGAGTGTCCAGGCAAGAGCTTTTATGGAAACAACGGTTAGAGAGGAGTCAGCTCTTTCGGTTTGCAGGTTGGTGAAAACAGACTCTTCCAGAGAATTTTATCCTATCATCCTATGTATTCTGGGAAGCCGTGTTTTCTCTGTTTTTGGAGGTTGCTGGGTTTAATAAAACTGGTTAAAAATTGAGATTTTTCTTCAATTGTTCTTTCCAGGTGAAAACTTTTTTTCATTCAGTTTAAAGGTAAAGAATGGAGGGAAAACCTTTCTCTCTTAATTCAATAATTATGTTCAGCCTATGATGAGAAGTATTTGATGATTAGACAGCAATGTCACTAATAAGTTTTAAGTTATCAGAAACTAATTGTAAACATCAGTACAGTACTCTTAGTTATGGTAAAGATAATTGTCTTAAGATGAATGGCTCATATTTTGGTGCAGTGTTTGATGTTCAAAACAAAATGTTACAAAAATAAACATAAACTGAATGCATTTGCCTGTTTCCTTCTGGGGGCATTTAAACCATCTTCTCTATACTCTTGCCAAAAGTTGATAATTTCCATAAATTAGCATTTTGATCTTTGCTGACACTTAAATTTGTCCATAGAAGGGACTTCTTTGGGGTGCTTATTTTTAAAACCTGACTCTGAAGTGAGGCTACACCCACAGGAACTAACCTCTTGCTTTGTGTGTTTTGCCAGGAGATGACTCATTCATACATATGTAATTTTCCTCTGTGGTCTTGCTGGTGTCTGAGGCTGTTTACCTCCTACCCTTGGGCACTGCAGGGTTCCCCTGGGAGTCCTGTCCAGAGCCCAGGACAACCCACCTTGTATTAAAGCCTTCCTCATGGTGGATATGTCTTAGCAACCCTGGTGTTTTCATCAGATGGACAGAATCAAAGCAATCAAAAACCACATCCCGTACATTATGTGAATGAGCATCTTGTACCCTCTCAGATGGCCTGCCACATGCTCTATGCTGACCCTGTGTGTTGCCGTTGTCACGGGAGCATGTGCCTGTGAGTATGGGAGAGGTCTGCATTTCAGGCTTCTTCACCATGACATGATGAGGGCTGTGCACCGGGAAGCACCGGTCTGTGGGGTGCGCTTTGGGAACAAAATGGAAGGACTTATGCGAAGTTGGATTACAACAAAAATGATTTTTACCCAGAGCAGCTTCTGATGCTTCAGAGGAACAGTGGGCACTCGAGCTCAGCAGCACCACTTTTACCCAAAGCAGCTTCTGATGCTTCAGAGGAACAGTGGGCGCTGCACCTCCGAGCTCAGCAGCACCACAGTGCCCCTTGGTCCCGTCGCCCCTGTGCCCTTGGCAGTTCACACGTGTCCTTCCCATTTATAGGACGGTGTAAGGAGAACATACACTACAAGAGTTTTATTATATTGCCCTCAGTAGAGTGCTGAGGCATCCCAGTTTACAGCACCCTCAAACTCTTAGGCTTACTCAATTGTCTTGCCTCAGCTTCCCAAGTAGCTGGGACTGCAGGTGCTCACCACAACACCCAGCTATGGTTTTGGTGCAGTTACCGTTGTTTTAGCTGGCCCAGGCTGGGTTCAAACCCGCCAGCCTCAGCATATGTGGCCGGCACCCTACCCACTGAGCTACACGTGCCACCACACATGTATGTTTTAACGTGGGCTTGTGTACAAAGCCCTGTTTCAGAACTACGAGCATGGAGCTGAGTGTGCCTCTACCCACAGATGCTCCTTTCCTTTCAGGATGCAAAGACGTACATTGTGAGTGGTCGTCTGTGAGATGAGTCATTTGGCAACACTAGATTAAAGCGCCAAGCCGGAAGTAATTTATAATGGAATTTATGGTGGTTTGCCCCATTTCATCTTAATTGTGTCTTGGAGGAGAGGCAAAGACCAGCTTAATTGGGCTCATTCTGTTTTGCCTGTCTTGGGTACATAGAGCTTAAATTCCCCTTTGTCAGAGAGTGAGCCAGTATGCTGGGAAAGGAGGACAGAGTTTGACTTGCTCTAGAGAACCATCTGCAGAGTAGAAGAACAGTCAAGCCTGCTTTCTGTCTGGTCCTTGCTTTTCTAGCTATTGAGCATTTGTGCCTTTGGCTCCGAGTAAGGTCTTAAAAAGGAGTGTGAGGGAAGAGGGCCAAAGCATGTGCCCGTGCCAGCTGGGTTTTCCTGAAAAAGCTTGGCTGCATGGGGTTTCTTCTGTGAGTCATTTCTAGACAATCAAGGCCATTCCCAACAGCTACCTTTAGCCAGCTCTCCAGCTGTAGAAACAAGGGCTGAGAACACCATTCTCCCTCCTTGTTCTAACAGCAAAATGGAAGACCTTTAGCTCTTGTTCACTTCTCCCTAGTTGTACAAGGAAGATAAATGAGAACTCCTTGGTGGCCTCCCTGTAGTCTCATTTGCAAACAGTTCTTGGAACTCAAAGCATTTTTACAGCATAAGAATTTTTACAGCATAACAGCATCTTCTAATGGCTAAATGCAGGCCAAGAAAACCAGAGCTCTTACTTCTCCCATCCAGACCTTTTTCTGGGGGTCAAGGGGTGTGGGCTTTTCTCTCGTGGTACCTAATTGACCAGATAGGTTTTACCAACCTGATTAGTAAAGACTACCTTGAGCTAAGGGTGCCTAGAGCTTTCTGTGCCTGCTAGAGAATTAACGTGCCTGGGCTTCCCCTAGAACAGAACACACTGCTGCTTCAGATGATCTCAGTTTTCAGTGCGTGGCCAGTTTTCTGTTGGGCCTCTTGTTGCTTAGGAACCAAGAGTCCATCAGGCTGTGGCTGCCAGAGAGAGTGCCGTGAAGCACCAGGACTCATTTTCATGAGCCTGGGCAGCTGCCAAGGAGATGTGCGTTTCCAGCACCCCAGGAGGAGCAGTCCAGCTGCAGGATCGCACGGGGCTTGACTCCGTGCACATCTGGTCTGTCTGTGGAAGCCAAAAGCAAAACCCAAGTGTACAGCTTGGATGCTGAGGGCTAATAGTTTTGTGGTTTAGTTTATTCAAGATTATTTTCTACACAGCCCACAAACAGAAAAGGCCAGTTACCTTCCTACAGTTGGCTTTTTAGCAACAGCTTCTAGTCCATAAAATACCAGGCTTCAGAAAACTTGAAGTGGCTTTATATATTTATTGGTGCTCCCTGTCTTTGCCCTGAACTGTACATGCCATTTAAGGAGCCAATCAACTTCGTGAACAGTCTAATGCATCCCCATCAGCAGCCCACGTGAGCAGGGGAGAGTCCGGAGGCAGTGGTGGGCCAAACATGGAACAGCCCAAACTAAATTCAGGGTCCCTGTGTGGTGGCATGGGCCACTTGACTTCAGTGTTTAAACTTTCCTGCATGCAGTGTAAACGGTTGGCCATAGTGTTGCTGTCCAGTAAAGACCAGCCAGGGGTTCTTAGCCCAGCAGCTCCTCCTCCATCAGCAGGACACCAGCCCCCAGCCTGGCCCCCGGGGGAGCAGCTAGAGCCCAGGAGCCCTCAAGTGGATCTGGAGGCTGGCAAGACGCAAGGGGGGGATCTGGCTCATGCCCAGGAGGGCCTTTCCAAGTCTTCCAGTTGTCCAGTTACAGTGACATATACCACATGCCTCATTCCTCACTGCCTGCCTGGGTGCTGTGAGGTGGTTGGCCTCAGCAGCGAAGGAAGGCCTTCGTGGTGGGGCAGGTGATGGGGGCAGAAAACTCGACCAGTGCTTCAGTGCATACTGAAAGCAAATATATTAAAGCTTCAGAGTTTTTACAACTCGTGCCCCTTACCTCGCCCCAGCCGCCCTAGGGGTGGGAAAGGAAGGGATATAAGAACACCCCACTGAACGTGGAGTACATCTCATCAAAGTCAGTGTGCGCCAGCCTGCCCCCCGTCACCACCACATTGACTGCATCTCCTGCCTTCAAGTGCACAACAAGGTGGAAGGCTCCCGGGCCCCCACAGGTGTGCAGGGCCCCAGGGGGGCGGTGGTATTCCAGGAATTCCCTCCTGTAGCCAGCTGTGTGCAGCTGGGCCACGCTGGCATTGGAGACGGACAGCACTGCCTCCACGTAGGCGTCTCTCTCCGGGGTGAGGGTGGCCGTGATCAGGTAGCGCCCGTCATACGGAGCTGTGAAGATCCCTGGAAGGAGAAAGACATCTGTGCTCAGCTGACACCAGCACAGCCCCTGCCATGGACAATAAGGTAACCGAGATGGGGGACCAGTGTCTTTCTGGCACTTTACAGTCCTGGGCAAACTAAGGAGGCAGCAGTGGAGGGAAGCAAGCTGTTTGCATCCTGTACCCACCCTCCAGGCACCTTTGACTCCAGCCACCTTAGCTCCTGGTGCTTTTTGCCACTGACCCAAAGATGCCATGAAAGCACCTCAAGGCCAACTTAGCCTCAAGGCTGGGCTGCTGGCAGGACCAGGTACCCCCAGGAGGCCAGGCCCTTCCCCTAGAAGGGCCACTCTCCTGCTGGACAAGTACACGGGTAGCAGACATGCATGGCCAGAAGCAAGCACTGCCGTGTGTTCTGGGTCTGGAGGCTGGAACTGAGGAATAAACAAGTCTGTAAGTGCTATACTATTTGCAAAACCAGAAGACTCAACCCAGAGCAGAGGCTGGCAGGAGCAGCTGCCACCCACAGGCTCTGGAAAGGCATTTCACCTTGCCCACTGCCCCAGGTGGGTCAGATGGGAGGAGTGTGACTGGGTCCTTTTTAGCCAGGTGCTAAAAGGGGGTAGACTTTAGGGCCCTGGGCATCAGTCATACCCCCCAAATGCACAGGTCAGGCTACTGAGCCCCTTCCCTAGCATCAAACAGCAAGTAATGGAGAGATGCTGAGTCTTTCCTGAGGCAACTGGCCCTGGGACAAAGCCGGCTGGCGCTCTGGGCTTGACTTGCTTGCTCCAGGCCACATGTGGCAGGTGAGACTAGGTCTGGGAATGTGACATAGGTCAGTGAGCCTGCTCACAAAATCCCCTGACCTGTCCAGGTAGCTGTACTATCCCACAGCCAAGCTTGGATTGGGATGAGGAGGGTAGCCTGACCCTGAAGATTGTAACAATTCAGCGGAGGCCTGGGGGCCTGTGGGGGTCGCTGCACTCCTCCCACCTGACCCGCCTGAGAGGCTGAGCTTTGGTCCACCTGGACTGGAGTACAGTGCTGGGGTGAGTTCTGTGCTTACCAGTCTTTAAGAACCACTTGTGGGGTGGGAGGGGGTTAGACAGTGGCCTGGTGAGGATGGCAGCTAACACCTGCCCAGAAGACGGTCACGTTCTCCACCCACTAGCTTAGGAGCTGCAAAGCCTCCCTAACATGCACTGGCCCCTCGGGAGGACCTGATCATAGGTAAGGACCATGGACCATGGTTGCTGAAGGCTCAGACTGGGAAAGGCCCAGGCCAAGGGGAATCTCACCTCGCCTGCCTGGGGGTTTTTTCTCCCAGGCCACCCCTGGTCCTGGTAGAGAAGCCCACCCCGGGAGGACACTGGGAACCTGAGGCAAACCCCATGCTCACTGTCCTCTCAGGCCCACTCCAGACAACCCAGGCCTGGGGGCCAGTGCTGCAGACAGTGAAGTGATTGTGTTCAGGGCATGAGGCCTTCCTGGGGAGAACACAGCTCCCAGCCCCGCTGGTTCCGTTCATGATAAATACATGGGGCCCTCAAGGGAGCCTCCAGTTTGCCCTGTCAGAGCCCAAGAGAGGCGCAGTGGCTGTCAGAGGCCAGGTGTGGTGCGCTGTGGCCTACGGAGCCCTCTTAACAGCGACTCCAGTGGTGAGAGCAGAGGAGAGTGTGTTGACCTCACAACTAGGGAATGTCACCCACCCAGCCTGCAGCCTGACAGCTGGGACCACATGTGTGAAACCCACAGGGCTAGGTGCACAGCACATGCCCCCTCGGGGCCCCTTGTCCAGACAGCGTCCTCCCAGATCCCAGGCACCTGCATGTGGGGGTTAGGAGGAGACGGGACCCAAGTGCCTTTCACTCACCTGTGTTAGGGTTGTACACGTCCCCGTCGTTTACCAACACTTTGTTAAAGAGGACGACCCCCCTGTCGCTGGGGAAAGGCTTCTGGGTAAGCCCAGCGGAGAAAGACACAAGAGAGGGCCCTGGAATGCCTGCAGCAGAGAGGGGATGAAGTGGGCTGAGACTCCGGGCACGGGGACTGCGCCAGGGCCCGTGTGCCAGGCCAGTTTTCCCTCCCTTGGATGTGGTGGGGCACCCCACTCCTCAGCCACGTGCTGGGCTCCCTAGCTGGGCTCAGCAGTCAACTAAGCCATCTGGGAAGCTGGGGAGGCCCTCGCCAGAAGTGTGTGAGACTGTGGCAACATGCGTGGCGGGCCAGGGAGGTGCTGGTAGGGCAGCAATAGAGGGAGCTGCTCACTTGCTGATGAGCCAATAAACCCCGACCCTCAGGAAGCTCGTCAGGACCACACAGGGCAAAGGCCCACCCAGCAAGCCCCTCGGGAACCTCAGTGAGCTGCAATCCTGTAGGAGGGAAAATTCTTTTTCTTGGGCCTGAGACACTGGCCCTGGCTGGGGAGCAAACCTCGACACTTCTGGTTGGGGAGTAGGGCTGGGCCCCAGTTCCACCATTAACAGCATGAGGGAGGAAGGGCGAGGTGCAGGGAAGGGCAGAGACCAGAATGGAAAACCCTGAAGGCGTACCTGGGGCGGCTACAGGAGGTGACCTGGGGTATCCTGAAAAACAACAGGATGGAATGTCAAACAGTTCCTAAACAGTAGCTCAGTTTTTGAGTCTTTTCTTTCCCTACCCCTCAGAAGCTCAAATTAAATCTTCATTACCAAAGAAACAGACATAGAACAAGGGGCCCACTCTGAGCTGCCTCCCTCAACAGGCATATTGGAACCCACCTGTCCCTGCTCCCTCACTAGCCACTCCCTCCTGGCAGAGAGGAGGGCACTGAGGCAAGCTGCCCCTAGGAGTATAAAAAAAGAGAAAGACAGCATGCTGGAGCCCTGGAGCCCAGGCCAAGGAGGAGAAGCCCACAGACTCCCAACTAAGGCATCTGTGCTTTCGTAGTGTTATCTGTCCGAGAGCTTTGCCGTCAACTGGACTGAACACAGTATTAAGTGGACACACGGAGGGGTGGGTGGACGCATGCACACAGGGACGAATACACAGACACACATGGATGCGTGGGTGGGTGGACGCACGCATGGGAGCCGGCACGAGTGAGGCAGGTGTACACATGTGGATAAATGGTTGCATCCGTCCACGGATAAATGAGTGGATAGGTTGGGTGAATGTCTGTGGAGGGGCACGTGGATTCCTGATGCCCGTGTGGTGGGGAATGTCTGTGTGGAGGGGCACGTGGATTCCTGATGCCCGTGTGGTGG